AGGCGGTGGGGTGGCAGGGGAGCGCTGGGACCGCGGGCTGGGTGCCTGCGCGTAGCCTTTCTTCCGTGGTGATGCACCAGCCCCTTCCCTCCCCTTCCCAACTCTGTCTCAAACCTCTTCTCCTCCTCCCTGCGTAATGACCCCGCCTTGCCCCTCTGCCTTCTGCTTGGCGAGCAGCTTGATGCTGAGGACGCTGCCTGGCTCTGAGGGCACCCAAGAGGAGACACTTCTGTCCTTATTAATGGCGCCAAGAGCCTTGGCCGAGCACTGCGGTTTGAACGTGCAGAGAAGAGCCTGTGGGGATTAGTGAAGACCAGGGGTGTTCCTCGGAGGGGCAGTGGGAAGCTGCTTCCTGAACTTTGGTTGGGCATCCACATGTATGGGTTGTGTAAATAAGCCTTGCAGAGTAGTGGTGGTATCATTAAGGAACGTAGTTTTACCCATCATTTTTTTTTTTTTTCCCATTTTTTATTTAAGTTTTTTGGAGGTTTTGCTGTTTTTTATTACCATCATAATTTTTATTGCTGTTGCTTCTTCGTACTTTTGTCCAATTTTCCCCTAAGATTTATCGCACGGTAGCTTGCAGTGTTTTGCTGTGGTTACTTGTTTTTTGTCTCGTTTTGACTCATTACTTGACAAAAGCTGACTAATATTGTGCCTATCTGCTTTTTAAAGTGTTTGGTGGAGGTGAAGTTCTTGCCTGATGTCCCTTTACAGGATATAGGCAGTGACCCCTTAAGGACTCGCTCTCACCTACTGTAGATGTATTTTATTCTGGTGCTCTAACTTAATTAACTGCTCTATCAGATAGATGTTGATGGACCTGGAGAGGAATGTGGGTTCATTGTTACTGGTCTGTCTATGACCTCCAGGAGCTCACGATGAAGACACACTATGTATTTCACCATAGCAGATTAGGTTAAATGAGCTCTCGCCTTTGCAGACCTTTCTTGTTAGATTTCCTGAAGGAAAAGTTCTTGTTTTCCTTTTTTTTTGTTTGCTCGTTCTATGAAACAAAATAATCTTTCCCCATTCTTAGTTCTAAGGATATTATTTGGCCTTTTTTTATGCAGCTATGTATATAAAAGTAGTTTCACTAAGTTTCACTGCCCTTAACTTAGTCTGGCTTTTTACAGATGAATGTTTTTAGAAACCAGTTCCCATAAATAAGAATTTGGAATGATAACAACATAAAATGAAGATATTAAAAGTGCTGTTAAATTGGGTAGCAGTGGCAGAGCTGAAAATAGGTCTTCTGCCATGACCAGGTGGGGAAACGGCCTTGTTTTCTTCTGTTTTGGAGTGAGAACAGTCAGCACAGAACCTGTGAACTTGGGAGGAGGAAAGGGTCAGTCTTAGTGCTGTGAGAAGCCCCTTGCACTGAATTTCCAGAAAACTGCCAGTTAACTTTTCTTTCTTTTCTGTGGATTTGGACCCAAGTAAGGGAACAAGAATGTAGTTGAGAATGCAGAAATGTCTGCAGCCCCATGCGAATGGGAGAGCTGCAGGGCTGTTCTCTGCCGCATGGTTTGTGGGGCTTCTGTTCTGCAGAGCTGGGGTAGCAAGCATGGGGGGAGAAGAAGAAGGATGGACAGAAGGACAGACAGAAGGACTCACAGCCTGTTTACTTTCCTCCACTTCTGGGAAATAGGTCCCTGCTCAGGGCTGGCTTGTTTAGCAGTGCTCTCCCCCTTCATTAGCGTTTGTGAGGATGAATTGTCCTTCTCCAGTGAAGCCCTTAGGGTCAGTAGATGGGAGGTTTTATCACCTACTCATAGCATATGTTTTTTTAAAGTGTAAAGTCAATGTACAAATGTTGACTACCTGGATTTGAAAGACTTGTGGGCTGAAATGAGGTAATTTGCAACACTTTTGCAGTAGTGTGGAAAGGGGTGAATGAGGAGCTTTTAGCAGTGAAAGACACCCATGTTCAGAGTTGACTTGGTTAATTTCTTTCCCTTGTGTGTTTGTTTCAGCTCTCTGAAGATGTAGTGAACCAAATGAAAGCATCTCCTCAAGGAAAAAGGGACACCCAGAGCTCAGCCCGTTCATCCAATGGCACAGCTCCATCTTCACTGGCTGAAGAAGGGAAACCCAAACCTCCTACAGGTACCATCAGTGCCTGTCAGCTCTACTGACTGTTTTACCACACTTCCCAGGAGTGCTGCAACTGGGTGTTATATAGTTTGTCTGTATTTTTCAAGACTACCTTGTGAGAGGAGCTCTTCGATTAGCCTGTAACATTTTTAATGTATGTAGATACTGGCATCACTTAGTACCTTGGGTGTTACGTGCCTGTGATGTCCTCGTTACATTTCTGAAAGGCAGCCCTGCCACTGGCCAGCTGGAGCAGTTGAAATGTGGAGGTTCAGGTTCTGTTGCTGTGTGACCTTGAGTGAGACAACTTGTTTTCTAGGGCCTTTCCTTCTCTGACTTTGGATTACCACTTTCTGAGCTACTTTAATGAACTTGTCTCACTTGGTGAACGTTTCTTGCATTTCAAGCGAGCATGCAATGAGCAATGCAGAATTTTTTTTTCCTCTTTTGTTTCTGGCAAGGTGCATTGTTGTCTTGTTGGCATGCACTGGGAGCGTGTTGTGGGTGGGTGGGGGATATATGAGCTTGTTTCCAAAGAGTAAATGCCATAGGGAAGGACAGACTAAGACAGCTTCCCAAAGGGATGATGGGAATGTGGTTTTTGAACCTGTTTTTCTTTACAGGTCAGAAAAGTATTTGAGTTCTCTTGGTTCTCAGATACACTTTGTTGATATATTATCAGTGTGGATTTAAGGCATTCAGACTAAGATGAAGTTAGGGAACCAGATCTTTGCATTTAGAGAGGATTTTTTTTTTTTTCGGTTAGCCTACATCTTTCCTGTAAGTGTATTCAGCCTTGTGCATGGCCTGGACTCCATCAAATAATTTCATCTCCACTTGTGGGATCACTTGTAATTACAAGGAAAGCAAGAGGTCAAGGGGAAGGCTTAATGGAACTAGAGGAAGGAAATAGAAAGTAGGTCTAAACCCATGCTTATATTTCAGTATAAACCAAGGTTTGAGGAGTTAAAAAACTTGCCTAGAAATTTCTGTAGCATGACTTGTTGAAGATGGTGCTGTGAGTATCTTTTTGTTTTGTGAATTCAAATTCCATCCACCAAACTTTAGATTTTCTTGAGACTTCTCAAGGTGTATTTTTTTTATCTCTTGATGGGCCAGCACTCACACATTAAATTCTCCTCAGTTTCTGAAGGGATGGACTGTGTTTTGTACTGTAGTTGTCACATGTTTCTGTTCTTTCTAGGAATCCAGCCACCAATGGCAAATGACTCTGGTCAGAAGTCTTCTGCAGCAGAGCAGGATCTGTACAGGAGGTGAGGTGGAATTCTTGAATAAGACAGTAGTTTAGCTCCTTTTGGACTATATATACATACATGTTTTACTGCAGTCAAAGCACAGTGATGGTTTGTTTTTATGCCTGAAAATCCTCTTTGAAGCCTTCTTCAGTGAAGGGCCACAGAATGTTTTTGTAGGGACACCTGTCCCCTAGCTGAAGGGAGCAGACAGGGGAGTAGTCAAGGGTCTTGTCCCAAAAACAGATCCTTCACCCAGTGTGCAAAGTGCAATCCACACATGGAGGTGAGATACCAAGTGTGTTATGGTCCTGCTCAGGGTTGTGTCCTAGCAGGGGAGTGCCAGTAAACTCAGGGGTGTAGTGACAATACGGAGAACATTTGCACACTAGAGATGGAGGTGAAGTTACCGTGTGTCTATTGCCCTTGGCTGGAAACAACGTGTCCATCACCCCTCCTGGGTATCAGTGTATCAAGCACCCTTTGATAGGTAACAACATGCCCACTCCTTCAACTCAGCAACAAGGTATCTAGTGACAACAAATGGCACCAAAGTAACTGTCACATCTGCTTGGCAACAAGGTGACCATCATGCCCCATTCAGCAACAATGTATTGCTTTGACTGGCAACAGGTATCGCTTGACGCCTCTTCAGCAACAATGTGACTATTCCCCCTTAAGCAGCAGCCATGTATTGGGCACACTCGCTCAGCGACATGTGACTGTGGCCCCCTGCCCAGTGACAAGGGGTTGGTTGCTCCTTGGTGGGCACCGGTGTCTCTGTTGCCCTGGCATTGTCACCCTCTATCTATTGCCCTGGTCAATCCACTCGGTGCCCGCCTCTCCGTTCTGCTCACCTCATGCCCCCTGAAGCCACGTCTTCCACAGGGACATTCCTCCTCTTCTTCCTCTGCTATCCCGGGAAGGTTGCTGGTGTGGGGGTGTTCCTGTGACATCCCCTTGCTATCTGCATGGTTAATGTACCTCCTGTAGTGGGGCCAGTCCAGCAGTCCCACATTTATCACCCTGTAGCACACTCACTCTGCCTACCATTTAACAGTCCTGTCTAACCTAGTTCTGTGGTTCATGTTAAGCTCTCTTTGCTTGCATGTGGAATTTTCAGGGCTTGAACTGGACAAAGTTTCCTTCATGGCACTCTGAGATCCAGATGTACATGCCGTGGATGTGACAAGGCCACTTTCTTTCAGTGCTGTTTCAGCATGTGTTTTATGTGATTTTCTTTACATTGCAGAGCAGGAGAGCAACACTGGCAGATAGGCTAACTCCTTTTATTGTTGTATGTCTGTCCCTTGATCTTTTCCAAAGCAGTATCTATTGATCTGGCTACCTACTTTCTATTCTTACTGTTTTGAGGTGATAATAGAGCTAAATGTAACTGAAGTATTAGGTGCTAAGTTGACTTGTTGCCAGAGCTGGTCCTCATGGTCCAAGCTCTAAAGTTGTAGGTCATCTTTAAAGTCTGTTGAACTTTTGAATTCCTGCTTATAATGGCAGGTCTGTGAGCAGACTGTGTCAGAAGAGATGATTGGTTTTTGTTTTGGCTGTAGGCAGGGATAGTCCACACGAAGCCCTGACGCTCTTGCCAGAAGTCTGCTGATGCCCTTCCTTCTGTTTGCCTCTGGCACTCTCACAGGTACGAGCAAGAACAGGCACTGGTCCAAGAGGAGTTGCTCCGGCTGGCCAAAAGAGAAAGGGAGGCAGCCAGTGAGGTCTTGAGCACGGCTCTGCAGCGGGAAAGGGGCAACACGAATGAAGAGAGGCAGAGGGCAGCCCAGCTGGTGAGTGACAGAAAACTCCCCAGTATGTTTCCATACAGGATGGGCTAAAATATCCCTGCTTGAGGGGGTTCGTTTGTGTGATGGGCTTGGAAACTTTGATTTAGGCTGGAACACTCATCACTTCATAATTCATCACTTAATGTTTGGCTTACAATGTTGCTGGCAAGCAACACTTGCAGCATGTTGTGTGGTGATGCCAAGGCCTGGCTTTCAGGGGAAGGCTTAAGCAGTGACTGTGCTGGGGACAGCTTTACCTGCTGTCAGTGTGTGGGGGTTGTGGATGGGGTCCTTGTCTGAGCTGGAGAGAACTCCTGTAAACTCTCACGTGAATGTTTTGAGATATACAGGATCACATCTGCTGACCTGATCTATCCTGAAACTTTGCTCTGTTTTTCTAGAGTTTAGTTGTGCAAGTACCCAAGCTAATAAAAAGTAATAACGAGTTCTGTTGTTTGAGTCTTTCATAATGTTGGTAACAGAACTGTTACAAAACTGTCAACTGTTTTCACACTTTTAAGAAGACTTAAAGATTGATTTTTAGGAACCAGAAAACATAAACCTCTGCTGTACCTGCCACTGACTCCCAAACGAACCTGTTCTGGCCTAGAAGACAGACAAATTTTTGAGGACTTCTTCCCTGCAGCCTTTACTATTATTCAGGCATCTTGGTGTTGCTGAGATAACCCATTGGGTTATTGTCATACCAGTTGTCCCGGTTTCTCTGGCACAGAATCCCAGGCCAGCCATGGCCTGTAGGCCTTCAGCAGTTTGGATTCAGCCAGGGCAGCTGACCTGAGTTGGCCACAGGCGTATCCCAGACCAGAAACGTCACCTTTAGTTTAAGGGGGGCTAACATTACCATGGCAAATGATGTGCTGCCTGTAAACACAGCAGAGTCTTACTGGAATGGCCTCTTTTTCCTGACCTGCAGTGGTATGGGGTGTCGGGGTGTGGCAATGGGGTGGAACTATGCTTGCCACTGTGAGAGCAAACTGACCACTTGTTTAGACTCTGATTTTGAAATTTCATTGAGAGAACTAGACGAAGAGGGATTCTTCTTACATGTACATGCTGAAAAGATGGTTGAGGCAGAGGACAGACTTGAGTAAGGATGGCCTTTTGTTGTGATTCTTTCTTCCTACTGATCTGTTGCATGTTCTGGATTTCAATGAAGAATCCTTCTATGAGCATGTTTTTTTTTCTTCCTGTATGCTACAGGTGTAATGCTGGCAAATGACTTGAATGTGAAGCGTTTTGAGATTATAAAATGAAGGCATTTTGGGGGAGTTGAATAAATAAAACTGATATAGGAATGGCTGTAGTGTTTCAGATGGTCCTTCTAGCTATTGCTCATCTCTGGTAGTGATCTGTAGCAGCTTCTTATGGAGAGTGTGAGAACAGAGCAATATTTCCCACCTGTATCCCCTTGCAGTTTCTGCTGTTCTGGGGCTTAGAGGCTTCTTCAGCAAGAGGCTGTAACTAAAACCTTAATGTTTTAGTTAAATTGCCTTTCATTAATTTGTCCATTTGTGGTTTTGGACCCGTTTGTGCTTTTTAAGTCCATGGTAATGTTTGTATGGGGTTGGACTGGTAGGTCCCTGAGATCCATCTCCTGGCTATAGCTTGTGAACAGCTGCTGTGTTGCAGGAAATCTCCTGGCAGATCATACCCTGGCCATGGGAAGCTGTGTGAGTGCTGAGCTTTGGAATAGTGACGTCTGAGGCAGGTGACTGCTGTTCCTCTGCACAGGACATCTGGGTCAGCCGATGCAGTATTGACTCTTTCCACTAGAGAGAGAATGTTCTCTTTATGAATGCAATTAATGGATTTCTGTAAATAGGTGAGGGAAGAAGCTAGTGGATTTATTGCCCAATCTAAATACGTGGCCTGGCTCAGAAGTAGAGCCTCCTACAGTGAGGTGTAGAGTAATCCTGGAGAAATGTGACTAGCAGACTCGGGCAATATTTGTGAAGTGTGAAGAGAGCACCTTTAAAATGAGTTTGCACCTGACTGCTAACGTACAAAAGCTGTTCTTTTATCTGAATTAGCTTTTAATCCTTCAATGTCACATACCCAGATATGGCATACTTGATGTTCTGCAAAAATCTAATCAGGCTCTCCTTGTGTAACCCATAAAAGATAAATAGTGACCATGGATGTTAGCCCAGAACATGGTGCAAGAATGAGAAACTGTTAAATTTCATTGCTCTTTAACTATCTCTTTATCAGTCATAAATTTAAGATCCTTAAAAATGGAATAGTCTAGTCTGTCCTTGCAAAGATGAGGTCAAAGCTACTGTCTGTCGGCTTCTAGGTGTCTTCCTAAGCAGGAACTGTTTTCGCCAGTGTTTTAAATTATTTGGATCCCTGTCAGGCTTGCTTTATCTCAGCTACAGTTCCCTTTTGGGCCTGGTTACCTTATTGTATTGATTCAATCCTACTCAAATCAGATCTGTCCTTTATCTTCTAGTATTGGCTTTTTTTCCCCTCTATTTGGAAAAGGACTATGAATGTTTCTTGCTCACTCTTCTGCAATTTATTCCTAGATATGAGGCGAATAATGGATATGAGCTACTCTTTCAAGTATTCTGTGTCAGTGTTCTCTTTTGGGTAGAAGATAGTAGTGGAACTCTAGGTGTACTCGCCTAGTGGTAATCCAGGTGCAGGTGACACTGGAAATTATCTGTTTCAGTTTATGAAGGGACAACTTCTAGGGTTGTGGTGGTGGTTGTTGTGACCTACTAGGGCAGAGAGAGGAAGAATGGGGAAACTCCCATGAAAGAAAGAACAGATGAAAATTTTGTTTCTAGCAGCACTTATTTTAGTAAAAAAATGAAAATCATGCCACGTATAATTAGAAAGGTTTGTTGTGTGTGTTTAATATTTGCAGTAAGATCTTGAGCTGTCCCGTCCCTTAACATACCAGTAGTTTGGTGATTGGGAGCCTTCTCTTGTACGGTCGTTGCCAGTAGTGCTGCAGTGTTCTCCTTTAACCTTACCACTTGTGGACCATAAATCCACATACGAAAGCTGTATGTGAAATGATTATTTGGACTGTGCTGAATGGCTGTTCTTTATGATTTTTGTTCACTGGCTTTTATTACTGGCAGTATTGCTATGAAGCAGTTGTTCAGTCTTATTACAAAGTGCAGCTTCCTGAAGAGAGCGTGGACTAGAGCTAGCCTTCAACGGGGTGCACTGGTTACTAGAGGGATTTAGACTTAAGTACCTGGGTCCTCTTCTACATTTTTTTGATCTTTTTGTTTTCTGTGACTTTAAACAAGGTACTTATCTTCTAGGTACCACAGGTTTTGAGGAAAAACTTCTTAAAGTTTTAGTTTAAGAAGCCAAACAGCTCTGTAAGTAGAAACACTGCATCATTCGCTTCCCTCTTTGAGCGAATATGGCTTTTGATTAACAGTGGGGGACTGGCTCAATTGGAAGTTGTCTGTTAAGCTGCTGCAGAAGAACTCTCACTAATTTGTATTGGAGATAAAATGTTTTGTTTGTCTTACAGCACTGCAGGATCATGGTGCTGACTGGACCCTGAATAATTTAATGCTGTGGGTACTTAAAATACAACAAGGATTATATGTCTGGTGCTTCACAGCAGGGCCTAGGGTGTTTGACTAATGCTTGTAGCATGCCTTAAGTCTGATGTGAAATATCCAAGAATTAATACAGCTATCTTTAAATGCTTTTCTGCTGCTAGCATGAGCAACTTCCAGTGTTGTCATAGTCAAGTCATTTAATTGCTTCACTGTTGTGAATAGTCTCATCTTTCCCCTGTACCAGGAGTCTTTCCTTTTTCATTTCCAATTAATCAAAACCTCTTCTCTCAACTTCTCAGTTCTTCTGCCTTTCTTTTTTTTCTCCTTCTTGCCAACAAAAGAAACTTTGCAAGCAAAGCTGCTCTTTTTTTTTTTTTTTCCCCCTCCTTTCTGCTTTTGTAATCTCCTAAGGCTGAGCAGCATGTGCAGCATATGCATCATGAGCCTCTTGGAGCCAGTGACTCCCTGCCTGATGGTTTTCTCTGAAATCTTTGAGACAAATCAATGTGGAATGGGAATGGAGAAAAGCAGAAGCTGGGGCGAGGGGGGGAAATAAACGCGATTAAGCAAAGACATCTCATTACTACTCTAGAAAGGGAGGATTATAACTTATAAAATAGGAGGATCTCATTTAGGGGCCATGTGTGCCTGTGTTATCAGGACAGAGGGAGAGCAAATAGAATAAATGAAATTAATACTTTGAAAAGAAGCATTACCCGGATTTGAGAATTGAACTAATATGATTTGTGCAAAGCCCTGAAGTTCTTATCTCCCCATTTAATACCCCTAGGATAATGGCTTTGTCAGAGTTATTGACCAAAAGTCATCATCTTCCTTCCCATTTTGAAAGAGTGAATTCAGGAGTGCGGGTGATGGTAGGACAAACTGCACTATGATTAGCTTTTTCAGACAAGACTGACAGACATTGGTTGCTGCGTGAAAGCAGACTGGGCACAGAATTCCTAAATAGCTGGGGAAGTGTTTCTCCAGCTTTTGATGATGGAAAGCTTGCTATTCCCAGTGCTCATGGTCATGCTTGCTGGCTTCCTGGATGGCAACCCGTGCTTTCTGGTGGCTCCAGCACTGCACTGTTGTGACTAGTGTGGCCTGGAATATGAGCATGGGAGGAAATACAAGGATTTAGGGTTTGTTTCTGCTTGTTCCAGTAACTGATTATAGTTGGTCATACGCTATTGGATTTTTTCAGATGATTTCTTGCCCTGAAATAATCTCTTTATTCTTCAGAGCCTCTTATCCTCCTCTTCCTGATTCAGTAGAGAAGGGGTGAAAGAAGAACACATTCCTTTGACCAGGCCAGTGGGTTTTGATAGTAAATAGTGTCATCTTGGTAATGTGGCATTCTGAACTCTTGGGCTTTGCCCGTGGTGTACTTCGGACACTTCCACCCCTGGTTTAGTGTATTTTGGTCTGCTGACATTTGAACTGGTA